TCATATACTACTCAAGCACTGTACTCAACAGTTTAATCAAGCCACAGCAAAGAGCAATACAACCAAAGAATGAAGACACACAGCACACAGGTATTGAGCAGCCCTTTAATGAGATCAGATGTGGGGAAATGGTTGTTGTTGTTGTTGTTATTGTTGAAGGAAAGGCAGGAAAAGACACACTGACACAAAACACACTGACACACAGAAGCACACACACAGGAAAAAAGGCAGCAAGATGTTGCCTCGTTGGGGGACGGATGAAAAAGGGTAAATATTTGAATGGGTAAGTAATGCTGCCAGGTGAGGTGAATGAAGATGAGAACAATAAAGTTGAGCTGTTATGCTGACCAAAAAATCACCAGAACCAGCACCACCAGCAAATCAGCGGCGCAAGTCAGTATCAAAAGAGACCGGCGGAAGCGATGCGAAGCGACACGACTCGGGGGAGGACAACTTCGGCGCCAGAGAGAAAGTGCTGCTGCGAGGAGTCAGTCCTCGGGAGAAGGCCGCTCTCGCCGCAGCGGCGACAGGCTTGGCAGACTTGATCATCATCAGATTACTTCCATTAGCCCCACCACCACCACCACTTCCTCCTCCTCCACTCCCATTCACAACTCCATTACTTCCGCCAAGTCTGACGGCCTTTCGCAAAAGGCTGGCCACGTCGCAGTTGTTGATGCTGTGGTCATGCAGGAGGTGCTTGCGCAGCTTCGTTCGACTCACAATCGGCCGACAGCCGATGCTCAGCGGGCAGCTGTACAAGGCGCTCTGGTGATGGTGGTGGTGGTGGTGGGAAAGTGGAGGCGAAGAAGAAAGCGGAGGAGAGGAAACAAAGGACTTTGTAAACAGGTGCTTGCTGCTAGTGCTGCCATTGGCCATCAAATCGTCAGCACCATCAGCACCTCTGCCGCCACAAGCCCCACTCACACTTCCACTCCCATCTCCCGCAAGACTTAGCGGCTGAACTGACCTTTTAGAAGAAGAAGGAGGAGAAGNAGAAGAAGAAGGAGGAGAAGGAGGAGGAGGAAGTCGCGGGGAGTCATGATTTTTGAAGCCGATGCCGTCGCTGTTTCCGTTGACCTGGTGGTGCTGCGACTCGGGCGACTGCATCGTCATGCGGAATTGCAGCTCTCCTAGCAGTTCCTTCGTTGGAGTGAGCACTGCTGCTGCTGTTGCTGTTGAGACCGTCGATTCGGGCGAAACTGTGATCGACGACGGCGAAGTGAAGGAGGTAAACGAGTGCTGGGAAGGAGTGCTAAAGAACTCGCTGGAGTGGCCATTGCTGGCAGAAAACGCTGGCTGAGGTGGCTGGTTGAAACTCGAAACCGAAAGACTTTGCTGCTGCTGCAGCACTGAGCCATTGCAGCCGACGCTGTTGTTGTCATTAAAGAAGTTTTCCTTCTCCTCAAGCAATTGCTGCTGCTGCAGCATCTTAGGCGGCAGATTTCGACGGTCCAACATGAGGAGATAGATGGCCACCTCGTCCAGGGCGGCCTTGATGGCCGCCGTGCCCTTGTCCATGTACAGCTGCATCTTCCGGTGGCAGCCCTCCGGGTAGTCGGCCGCCGCCAGCTCGGAGCCTAGCGTAAAGTCAAACAGCGTTCGCACGTAGTCGGTGCAGGCCTGGTGGAGGCGTTGCTCAAAGGCACGTCGCTGGGCGTCAATCTGGGCGACGCTCGCCGAAATGAAGACCGTCGTCGGATCGCTGGGGCAAGAGTTGAAGATGGAGGAGAAGGAGGGTGGAACGGTCATATCCATCGGAATCTCTGGTGGTGGTGATGATGATGAAGATAACAACAGGATAATCAGGAACCTGGCAAAAGGAGGTAAGAATCGCGAGAAAGTAGAACCGCAGAAGAAAACACACACAAAGAAACTGTTGCTGCTGAAACGTGTGATAACGTGTCCGTTCTGTTTGCGAGCAAAACACACACACACATCAGCAGCATTGGCTCACCGCTTGGGCTGCTCACAACTGACGGGACGCTTTTTTACGGCAGCAGACTTTTGGGAAGCAAAACACACCTTTTTCAACAATTTTATGAGGAGGAGGAGGAGGAGGTTATCATGAGGAGAAAGAGAGGAATGAATGGGGGGATAACAACAACAACAAGCTCAAAGTGGATAATATTAAATAGTACTGATGTGCAGGAGATTTTTAAGAAGAGAGAGGTATCATGTTCGGGGGGTATCAACAGACGGGGAAAACTATGAGGAAGTGTATTGGGAAAGTGTGAACGAATGAAGTGATTTAGAGCTTGGGGAGCTGCAGCAAAGAACCGGGATATCAACAAACTGCGAAGTGAAGAACTGTCAACTTTTCCTCAACAACAATTCCCTTCCTTCAACGACGTCGATAAGGGGGCGGCGGTGAGAAGGAGGGCGAACGACGACTGCGACCTCCACAACTTCCACCACCACCAAAACCACCACCACCACCTCTTCCTCCTCCTCTTCCACCAAAGGAGAACGGCGAGCGACGACGAGGAGGGCCAAACTTCCTAAAGTAAGGGAAGAGAAATGGAATGAAGTTGGGTGATTGTTTTGATTGTTCAATCAATCAAAACTCTTACTCATTAGGATTGCCCATGTAGCGGCCGGGCGTGGGCGAGTGGGCGCGCGGCGTCACCGAGTAGTCGACGCGAATGGTCCGCCCGTTTAGCTGCATGCCGTTGCAGCCTTCTTTCGCCTAGGGGGTGGGGAATGAAAAATTAGTCAACACCTACCAATAACAACAAAAAAGGAAGTCCTTCACTTACCTCATCAGCGTCTCGCTGCCGCTCAAAGTAGACAAAGCCAAAGCCGCGCGAGCGCTGGCTGAAGCGGTCCATCACCAGCTGCACGTCGCGGACGCGCCCATAGCGGGCAAAGATCCGGTGGAGGTCGTCGGCCTGGGTGAACACCGAGATGCCGAAGACGCCGAGGCACTTGACGGCGGTGGCGGACAGACGACGACTACCACCTCCGCCGCCGCCGCCGCGACGGGCCCGCTCGCCAAAGGACGGCGATCGGCTGCGACTTCTGTTGATAATGAAGAGGACGTAAGAAATCGAAATCGTAGGTTTAGAAGGTAATAATCTTTACCGCCTCGATGGTGGTGATCGACTCGGCGACTGGCGACGACGGCGACCGCCGCCTCGCTGATGATGATGATGACTGCTGACGCGGCGACGCTGATGGCGCTCCTCCTCGATTGACCGGCGACTTCGCCGACTAGGACTTCGACGACCTCGGTAGCGTCTCTCTCTGGAGCTGTTGCTTCGGCTGCGACTGCGACTGCGACTGCTAGAGCGGCTTCGGTTTCTGCCTCGACTTCGACTACTTCGACTACGACTACGGCTACTCGACCTTCGGCCAAAGCTGCCTCGGTTGCGGTGTTCCCCTGCTTCGCGTGAACCAGAGCGGCGGCGGGGGCGATTTCGGTGGCAGACTTCCTCGACAAAGCTTTCTCGACGAGGCGGCGACGGCGTGTTCGGCGGTCGACAGACGAGTTGAGAGCGCAGAGGTTTACTCCAGACGAAGCCTGGGAAGACTCCGTCGCCTCCGCCTCGGCCGCTGTTTCCGTTTCGAAAAGGAGATCCTCCTCCTCCTCCTCCGTTCAAAGGCTGAAGCGGCGGCGGTGTTTGCGGCGGTCGCATCATCTGCTGCTGCTGCATTTGAGGAGGAGGCGGCGGCGTCGGAATCTTCAGAGGAAGTCTTTGAGAAGGCGGCGGATAGGGCGGCGTGAAGGAGGGCTCATTTGGATGGCTGTTGGTGGTGGTGTTGTTGTTGCTGTTGTTCAGTTGCTGTTCCTGATGAG